TTATTTTAAAAAAGTGACCATTACACTTACGAAGCACTTTAGATGAAAATAAAAGTAACTAACAGCTCTCGGCTATTCTCAACGCAATATCCAGAGTATTTCCGATCCCAGGGCATTCATTTTATTTAGCGGATCGGAGAAGATGGTTTGGTAGGTGGGGAAGGTGAACTTGGTACAGATCTCTTTCTCTCTTTCTTTCTTTCTTTCTTTCTTTTCATGTTCGTCCCACTGGAGCCAGAGGCTGAAGCGTGGCTCTACTGCTGACCAAAGATCTTCGTCTTTCTTGCTCCTCTTTGGTACGGTAGGATGAGAATGAGACGAAAACCGAGAGAGAGAGGGAGAAGGAAGATGGGTTAGGGTGAAGGCGTGGGGTGAGACGTCTGGACCCAGCCGAGATGGACACAGAGAATCGCCATTACAAATTGACAAGCTTGATTGATGGTCCTCGCGGAAGGGACGACGGTACAGGGACTTAAAGTGTATAGCTATATACCTATGTACATACATATATACATATATAGATGCGTGTAAGTGAGAGTTCGGACTACGAGGGACCTGCAGATAGCAAAGCCGCGTGGGTTATACCCAGAAAGAAGGGAGAAGGGCAAAGGGATCGGTTGCTCGCTTATCGGAGAGCGAGGCCTCTCAGCGAGTGCGTGACGAATGGTCCGCGACTAGATTCGTAAAGGAAGGAAGGGTCGACGTAACTGCTGCTACCCAGCTTCTGATCCTGCTCCTATTCTACGCCACCGAACTCAAATATACCACCCCCGTAAGTGTATTCCCTGGAAAAAAAAGCTTTCCACGAGAACTCCGGTAACTTCTAGGCCACATCGGATAAGAGTTTGAATCGTGTGTGTGTGTGTGTGGGTGTGGATGGACCGTGTCCACCCTTCAGACTCACCAGGGAAAAAGGTGGAAACGATCCGTCGCATTTCTTTCACCAATCCCACCCCCAACCCCTCTTCTCATTCCTACTTTATTTCTTTGCCCACTCGATGGCTTTCACCTAATTTTCAATACATTTTTCATCCCCGATCTAAGCCGATACTTTTTATCTCTACGATACCGTGAAACATCTATAGAACATCCTCTTTTTTCAACTAATAATAAAACAATAGTCATGAAAAATAATGTCGAAAAATAATACGAAAAAATAAGATGTGAATTCTAAAAAGGAATTTTAATAAACATGAGTTCCATGTTACAGATTAAATAATGAATTTCGTTAGGATTAACAGTATTTCTCCTTCTATATTTAGTTGTAAGTCGTGTGTCGGAGGTTTTAGGTGGTAGTAGCTGACACCTTTTATCGCGCTATCGTTACGAAATGCACCGTACGTTCCAAGCTTTACGGTACTTTGGGAACGCTGTTACGTTTTTACTGCGTCGTTCTGGGAACGGACGAAGGGATAGCAATTCTACTACTGTTACCGATATAGTAGTAACTGTACAAGGAACCTAGTCAGCTAGCTAGTCGTTGTCGAGTCTTTTAAAAGTCTTTTTCTCGAATCGAGAAATGACAAATACGTACAATCTAAAATCTATTTTCATTCGAATCTTAAAGAAGAAGAAAAAGAACAAAGGCAATTTGCAAAACAAATGTTTGCCCTCTTTCTCTCTCTCTCCTCTTCGTTCGTTCACGTTTGTCTCGTAACAAAGTCGATTTAAATGACGGAATAAAAATCGTTGAGAGATAGAAAGAAAGAAAGAAAGAAAGAGAATATTTTGACCAACAGGATGTGGTAAATCAAGGGACGAATCAAGCCGCGAATCAAGTCGAGCCTACGCAACAGCAACAGCAACAGCAGCTGTGAAGGAAATGCAAGCGCATAAAACGTGAGAGTAAAAAAAGAAATTGAAGAGGAATCTACAGAGAATATAATCTCGCTCGATATTTGACAGAGGTTCGTTGTAGATATTCCAATCGAGATACATCTCGATCGTGGGGATAAAGGGTACCGCGACCAATTTGAGGTATAAACCGGTGCACCGGCCGCCTACACGCAAGGAAACAAGTTAAAATGAACGAAACAAAAAAAAAACAAAAAGTAAGAGGAAGAAAGAAAAAGGTGTTATCTCGATGGCTTCTTCCACGAAGAGTTCTCGATAAGGATCGACGAGCGTTACAGTACATAGGAGCTCGTAAACTCAACGATCGAGATACTACCATGACGCGTTATCGCCGATAACAGAGAGAGAGAGAGAGAAAGAGAAAAAGATAGATAGATAGAACGAAGAAAGAGAAAGAGAGATGGTACATTGCTGGTACAGATTTCTCTCGGGCACTCGGAATAATAACAATGCCTCCCGGCACTCTCTCGGAGTCAATGTGGAGCACATCGCAGCTGCGATCCACGTAATGAAAGTATGATTGATGATCTGTACGACGAGCATCATTAGCTCGACACGAAGGAACCTCCTCGTCGTCCAAGTATCCCGTCGAACCTTGTTGTTGCCATTGTAATGTCGTGACCAAGAAAGGGAAAGAGAGAGGGAGAGAGAGAGAGATTATTCTGAAAATGCATTCCGAATTAACGTTGACGACGACTGGTGGATCTCTGAATCAGAGACGACTGCCATTGGTGTTTTCAAACGTATAACAGAGTCGCGATATGCGCACACGTCCGATGAAGAAAGATATAAAGAACAAAAAAGAAAATAAAGAATAAAAAAAAGAAAGAAAAAATGGAGCTTTACGAGAAATCGATCACGCGGTTGAACGCGGCCACGGGGGAGCAGGAACATTTGAAAGATACATTTATCTCGTTTCCGTTCGAACAAAATCTGCCCTGGGGTCTAATGCCTCGGCTATTAAGCTTTAATGGACTGCCGATCGTCGAGAGAAAAAGAGAGAGAGAGAAAAGGTATTGGAAAAATTCTTGGCAAACGTTTTCTTCATACCACTACCACCCCCATTACTGAAAATTTTCGCTATCGTCCTGGGATTCTTTTTTTCGTCATTCCCCGAACCTATTGCGCTATATCGTTAGAGAATTAAAAAAGAAAAAGAAAATAATAATAATAATAATAAGAAAGAAAGAAATGCATTATCGGGATAAAAAGAATAAGAAGAAGGGAACGTAGGAAAGTAGTCGCATCAAACGAAAGGGCTGAAAAGGTCGAGGATCGTCGTAGCTGGAACGTCGTAGCTGTGATCAGGATTTGACTCAGGATTATAATCTAACTTGTACACGACTTTCCACTTTAGCCGAAGCCGAGTAAAGCGACTACTCTCTCTCTTTTTCGTCTTTCATTTTCTCTTGGTGGGACTAACTTTCATGAAGAAACGAGCAAACGTTGTATCTTTGATACTAAACGGATTTAAAATTATCATCGATAGTTAAAGATCGTTGATCTTTTATAATACGCGAATAAAAATTAATCTTAAATAAATATTATTCATATAAACCGTAGAGAGAGAGAGAAAAATATGACGTAAGAAAGTGGACGATCTTTGAGATGTTTTTCTAAAAAAAAGAAAGAAAGAAAGAAAGAAAGGAAAAAAGAAAAAGCATCTCAGGACGTTTTACACGAACGAGTCGTGGATGGTGGATGGTGGATAAAGCGCCCCTAAAGCCCACTTTCGGACAGAGCAAACAAGCCGTAACTCAGTGAGTGTTTATGAGAGGAGTAGTCGTAAAAATACGCGGCGAATCCGGGCCTCGGTGTGTTTCTACCGTTTAGCTGGACCACCCTCCTACTTCGTTCAACTTTTTCTCGAGACCACTTTTCCTTTTCCCATCTTTTTCTCTTATATGTATGTATAAAGTATAACTATATATATATCTTCTTTCTCTCTTCATTTCATCGAAACAAAGACTTCCAACTCTTTTAGAGTTGGAAAGTATAGAACAGAAAGGGAAGAACGAACGAACGAACGATCGAACGATCGAATAAACGAACGGTAGGGATGAAAGGGAATGAGAGCGAGAGTAAGCACGAGAGAGATAGAAACAGTAAGAGAGAGGGATCGTGAGAGAAAGAGAGTGTGTTTCCATGGCCGCATGTTGCCGGATCGTAAAACTCGGTCTGATCACCGCTACCAATTATCCCGCCGTTATCCGAGCGTTATCCGAACGTTATCCGGAACGTTATCCACCTCTGCCTGGCCTGTACTCCATGGAAGAACCCTCTCACCATCATCCAAATCACTACCGAACCCTTGAACCTCACCGCTTTGCAAGAGAGACAGAGAGACAGAGAGAGAGAGAAAGAGGGAAAACAAACCTTATACCCCGACACCCTGTTGTTGTCGCCTTTTAGTGCAAACCAAGTGATTCCCTCCTCGTAAACGTGACGTCTTTAAGGATCCCAATACTTCCTCGACATCTTGTATTATATTAAACTCTCTCTTTCTTTCTGTTTTTTTTTCTCTCTCTCTCTGTCCCTGTCTCACTGTTATTCGATTATCTATCGATTCTATTTATACGCGTGCTCTCGCTTTATTTTTATCTCCAACGAGAATAATTGACCTTTCGAGATACTCGAATATTTTGTTTAATCTTTCCTGTATATTCACTATGAATCGATTTATTTATTTAGAGTTCATATCACATTTGAGACACTCGAAACTCAACAGGGGGTTTAAACGAGTATCTCGGATAAATTATTTCCGACACTTAACTTCATTCTAACTTTCTGACTGACAATGAGTTACACAAATGAGTGATGTATAAAGTGAGATTATTTTATAAAAATATTTACGATAATAATATTAGTTGTTTAATGGATTCGCGATAAATAATATTAAGAATAAAATTAAATAAAAATTATTAAGTATATTTAAGTAAGTAAGTAAGTAAGTAAAAACCGAAAAAATTGAAATCAAAAAAAGAAATTGATTTTATTAAAACAAATGATTAAGTTTTAACATAGAAAAATGAAAAGTTACAGATCAAATTAATAATAATTAAATGATTACATATTGTACATGTGATAAATGTTTGATCTATTTAAATGTGTGTAATAATTAAATTCCGAAACTAGGTCCGACTTACCGGCTCGATTACTTTGATCGATCATCGGCTGTACGATTCTACGCCTCGCGTTGATAAACCTGTAATAAGAGAAAAGAGAAAAAAACAAGTTAATAATCAACACGTGACATCATTTTTTCTAATAATAAAGGTTGAAAAAGGGGGCTAAGGGATAAAGTTTAGCAAAAGGAAGAAACAAAAAAGTATATAAAAGAAGGACTACAACTCATAGGGGTTGGAAATGTTTAGTTGTAAGAGAAAAAGAATGGATGGAAGAATATTTTCGATACGTCATTAGCTACGCTGGAGGAGTTTCCGTACGAACGCTTTCCAAACAATAGATCTGCGGTTTGTTTCGTGGTTGGTCAAAGTCCAAACGGGGATGGTGCGTGGGTATGGTGTAGGAACGAAGAAGAAATAGAAGAAGAAGAAGAAGAAGAAGTGGATAGAAGAGGGTGGTAGATGTGAATAGTGTCGGAGTAAGAAGAAAAGGGGGAAGGGTGGTAGGGGGGAAGAGCGTACGTCAGCCGACGTCAGCGTCGCGGCTCCCTAATGGGCGCAGACGCCGGAAGTGATTGGGTTTCTGCTCGACTGACTCAAGTACACCCCCGCAAACGCGAATGGAAAAGCGAGCTTCTTGCGAGCTTCTTGCTAGCTTCTTGTAAGCTTCTCTCGTTCGCGTGTGAGGTAGCCAGGCAAACCCCCTAACAACAACGGCGCGCTCACCCCTTTCTCCTTTCCGCTATTTCTTCCTCGATCTTACACGAGCGAATAACTCCTCGGCGTACAACACAGAATCTTATGAATAATAATTATTAAACGCGCACTTTGGTATTATCCCCAACCCCCGCAACCCAAACTCAATCCAACGAAACCCTTCGTGTTCTTCCCTTGTCCTGTCTCATCAAGAAAATAACGCTATTCTCGATTTTTCACGCTCTATTTACGTTGAAAGTATGTACAGAAAATAATCGATTGGGGACATAAATGATCCTAAAATGCACGTCCAATCGATTAATACGCTTAAATACTTTAATCACGTAACTTTTTAATTTAATGAGTCAAATCTACAATGACGTTTATTGTGGTTTAAACAATTTACAATATTACTCAGTTATGATTCATCTAAATTATGATTTAATTATTCGTTTATAATTATTTAGAAATATATGATAGATACATGATATATTGAAATATTTTTCTTGAATATTCTATGGATAATACGTTAACGAAATTATCGATGGAACGTGCCGTAAAAATGGCGATCGAGAGGAAGGAGAGAATCGGAGTTAGGTTGAGAAGGGTAGTAGTATACGAGTAGAAGGAGGGAAAATGGTGTGGGGAAGGGGGAAAGGGAAAAGAGGGCCTCTTCAAAGTCAGGGCTATCGTCGGATGAAAGAGTATCTCGCGTGCATAAACCGAGGGCCCCTTTCCAGCAGTCCCGGTTCTCCTAAGCGTCTCTGCTTCCCCTTTGCCGGCGTAGGCAGCGTGTCACAGACAGCTGACTACCAACCGCCTTCCTCTCCGCCCTTGGTTCTGCCACCCCCGCGGCTGAAATATCGCTCGAACAATGGTGAGCTACCCCAGAGAGAGAGAGAGAGAAAGGGACGAAATACTACTGGCGACTGCCCGAACTCTGCCCAAGTACCATCCTCTCTCTCACTCTCTCATTCTCTCTCTCTCTCTCTCTCTCGTGTTCAACTACCTCTACGTCCTTTCACGAAACTCGCAAAAACCACTAAAAATATCTTCATCGGAGGAAAATTGAAGTTCCCTACGTTTTCGAGATCCCTTGAAATCCTGCGCTTGGTTACTTGTGTTCCTGACGTTTCACTCTAATTTAATATATATAATTTAATAAGTTAATTAATTTATTGTGTATTTTTTATTAGATTGCTTGGGAAGAATTTGTGAAGATATTTTTAGAAAAATCTTCAGGAACTTTTGATGCAATCATCGCGTTGGCCATTCAGGTAGCCTGGAAAACTTCTGTGAATTTGCACTGAGGACAATATATACTTTATAAGTATATTGAAATATATTAATAGAATAAATGAATTGGAATGAATTTTATATCTTTTTTATATCTCGCGTTTAAAGAAATATAATTTATTAATTATTATTATTATTATTTACAAAGTATGTAAAACGATCGAATATATAGATTAATGTTTTTCATGGTAACGAGGAATATCCGTACGAGGTGAGCATATTGTTATCGAGGCGGTTCCCGGCGGCACCCTAGATGACAAAACACTTTTCATTCGCGCTCCTCCCCGTGCTTTCACGATTTTAATGCAGTTTTGATTATGAGAGTCTCTGGGTGGGCTGGTGTCAGTGAGGGGTAGTTTCTATCTCCTGGCATGGCACGAAACAGACCTCCCATTTCGAACGATCGTACGTGTTTTTAATGTTGCCGAGGGTTGAAGGAACGTCCCAGCTCTCTTTGCTTTGTCATCGGGGAGTGGAATTTGAATTTTTCATGAAAGGAGATACACGCTCCTGTTCTAGACATGATTATGAAAAGAGAAAGAGAGTGTGAAAACGATACGAGTAAATTAAATTCTCCCTTAAATTATTCCAATTCTAACGGAGATTATCCCTTAACACATCGAAATATATTCTAAGTTTTAAGAAAACAAAAGAGAAAAGAAAGAGAGAGAGAGAGAGGGTGGAAGGAAGGAACGAAGGAAGAATAGAAAAAAGGTAAAAAAATAGAAAAAATAACATAGGACGTGTCGCCGTTGGAGAAAAATCGCATAAAACGCAGGGTTGGTGTCTCCCGCATGACCTTCCACGTACCATGACTAAATTTACTGCGCTTTGAACGCATGCATGAATAATGTTTGAATTTGCTTATCCCCTCGATACGAAAATTATCGACAAACCCTTTCTTTATTTTATTTTGGAAACACTTTTAAAGAAACAAAATACACAATATATATTTCGTTTTTAAATTTTCGTTTTTAATCTGTAGACACTTTTAATCAGTAACATTTGATAATAATAAAAGACGGAAATTGTGAAAGTGTGTATATAGGTTCGTCAAGATTCGTCGTTTCGACGGTATGCGAACTCGATAACGATGATTACTGTCGTGCTAGCAACATTTACTCTTCGTCGGCATTCGCAATTATCGGAGAGCTTCCATTAGTTAACTGCAGTCGATACACGGCGCACCAGGGTCCTCGCATCAAAACATCATTACAGTCCGGACACAAGAGAGAGAGAGAGAGAGAAAGGGAGAGAAAGATAGAAAGGGGAAAGGGGGTGTGTTCCCAGTACTATTGGTAATCAATTTTGCTCCTATAGCAAGCTAGCATCGAGAGAGGCACGCTAATGCGGAGCTTCGACGTTCACACCGCATTAGGGAAAAGCAAAGAGGCCGTTCCATAATCATTGCCCATTAGAAAATGTATCGAGGATCGGTCATGTAAGTTCGCGATGACAATTTTTTTTATATTCTATTTAATTCTATTCAAAATATATTCTTTATGGTAAATTTAAATCATACAACGTTAATCATATATTATTCTAGGATGACGGGGTAATGAAGATCCTACTGTTTTAGACTTTGAAAATGTGTGAATAGAATATTAAACAATAATTTAAAAATGACTTTTCAATCGAATTAAATAATATCGCGTTTATATATATATGGATCTCTCGGTAAGATTCGTAAAAATAAATTGAGTTTTTATTAGGTAATAGAAGTAATTGACACCTCGTTCGATTCAAATCGCGGCTAGCTCTTTTTAAATATATATATATATATTGAAAAGAAGGAGACGCAAGTAAAGAGAAAAAGAGAAAGAGGGTAGGAGAGAGGGAGGGTTAGGCGACGTCGATAAAAGGTTATCGTCCTATCCAGGTGTAAAAGCGACGGCCCCGGGCTCTCCCGTGTTATAAATCCAGATACTCATAATCGGGTATTGCCCAGCGTTGCATTTACGATCGATAAAATCATTTTATCCGCGCATAATGCGCCAACCGATTCACGCAACCGTTCCTGCCGATTTCTTTTCTTCCTCCATTCTTTTTCTTCCTCCATTCTTTTTCTTCTTCTTCTTCTTCTTTTTCGATCGAACCGCACGATCACGATTTTATTGTAATGTATTCCAAACGATCGTACGAGAATCTTTAGACTCCCCTCGTGCTCGAATCCTAAGCTCGTGCAAGTAAGGAAGCAAGGAAGGAAGGAAGACCACGCGACATATATTCATAATTTCCATTGGACAAATTCAATGAGCATTGTAGAACCGTACGCATCGCGACACCATGTAATCGCGTTTCCTGAACGGCTAAACCCACCACCGCGATGTTCACCGAGCGCACTCTGAATTTCCTCCGAAAATTCGCGTCCGTCAGAGGTCGAGTTTCGTCGATCGTGCGAAGAGCCGATAATAATAATCGCTAAAGGGTTGCTTGCTGAAAGGCTTATCGAAGGCTGATGATTATGAACGACGACGAGCGGTGAACCGTAAAGATAATACGAGTCGAATACCGATGCTTCGTTTACTTAATTAAACGTAGAGCATAGAACGCGAGAGAGTGAAAGATCAAAATGGAGTAGACAAAAATTGTGAACGTGAAAAAAAGGGTGTCGAGGGATACCAGGGGCTAGGTGAAAAATGATTCGATGCGTCTATCCACTGGCTGCAGTTACCATCCCTCCTATTACCGATCATATCCATTTCGTAGCAATTCAAAAATTCGTCCATCTGTTATTCCAAACGTAATATCAATAAAATAATTCCAATTGCTATCGCGAAAATTTAAAACGTTTCTTAAAACTCGCATATAAGGCAACACTTTTTGTTTTGTTTTACAGAATAAATATAGATGAGTCGGAAGGGCAAGAGAGAGAGAGAGGAAAAGAGTGATAAAAATTCGTATGGTCTGACCTGGTAGCGATGCTGTGTTACTGGAGGTGATGGAGTAGGGAGGTGGAACGCAACGAACGAGGCCGGCGATCGCGCGTATCGGATACGCGTAGACAGCTTATGTGTGTCAACAAAGCGATTTAACACGCGACGTGTCACTGATAGCTACCGCTGGCCGGCCATTGGCGACGCCGACG